ATTAACTTAACATGATCAAACTTGCTAAAATTACTTAAAAACATGAATTTTTGCACAAGAAGCTGAACATGGCCGTGGCGTGCGCACCGTGCGCCGCCTACGGCGTTAAGCCGTCTCACGACCCAACATGCGTTTCCCTCGACAACTGACATATAACTAAACTTGATATGATATTCACTGAACAAAATAACATGAAATGCTTGAGGGACTATACTTAACATACTTGCTACACATGTACGGCCCGTGGTGCGCACTATGTGCGCGACCACGCCCTTCGACCAAATTAACAATAAATCATGCAAATTCTTCGAGCAAAAATAACTTGTCTAAACATGAATTAATATAAATAACTGAATACACGGAGATTGCTCGAGAGCTTTGGACAAGGACATGATCATGCTCAACACCGAATACACACGGTCAAGTCAACTTAGGGCTACAATACTTGAACTCGATAATCACTATCTAGCTGAACATGATGCTACTAATTTAGACAAGAAAATATCCCAAGCAATTACCTCCTCTCTTGCTCGGCCGACTGAATAAACGCTCGACTACTCGGAGTTCAAGTCCCCATGCGTGTGTGCGATACTCTTGCGTGTGCGGTGCGACTAAGCTATGCGTACGGTATACTCACTAAGGAAATTCTCACAACTTTCACTTCTCTCTATACTTAAGCACATATATACTTAGTTGGTAGTAGCAAAAATTCTCCCTACATTATGTATATATATGGCCGAAAGAAAGATAGGTGAAGTGTAGGTTTGGTGGCTTTCTAATTACAAGACACTTGCCATCATAAGCATTGCTCTAATGCTAACTCATCTCTTAAGAACATGCTTAGTCATCACTTAGGCATTTATATTATGCCACCTCCTACTAAAAAGGAAGACAAAGTTTCCTTTACTTGAAGAAAATTGCTCACGGCAATTTTATTAAAAATTGGGCAAATAATGCTAAATGCTACGGCTTTAGCAATACTTAAGCTTGATTAATTATTAATTAATCACCATATTAATCACCACATTATGCTTAATTAATTACTAAACATATTACTTAATTACCAAAATTATTCCGAACGTAAACGGGATGTCGAAAATAATTTCGGGTAATCTCGACTGAAAATAATTCATTCCAAAAATAATACTCGAAAATATTATTATATCGGAACTAAAAACATGATTTATATTATTAATCTGACGGGATATTACACGTCGGATGAGAATGGGCTTGAGGTCGTGTGTGGGGCGGAGATTGCCGAGGTTGCCCAGACTGACTTTCGCCAGTTTCTTCACGAGGAATTACAAGAGAAATGCGAGTGGCTTTAGTCTGGTTAGCCGTTCTTTCTCGGTGCGGTTGTGACATTCGACTACGAGGTTGAGACATTGCATGTGAAGTGGCCCCATCGCCGCCTCATCGTGCCAGCAGGATTTGCGAATTTACAGGTGTCGTGGGGATGACAGATTGTCCAGGAGCAGTTGTCGACATCCCGGGCATGGTTTGAGCTAATAAGGTGGCAAAGCCTCGTGCAAATTCTGGATTTTGAAACAGAGTAGTATAATCGGGCATGTTCGGTGCCGCCGCGGGACGTCTGATAGACTGAGCAGCGCCTAGATGCATGACCACGATGATCTGACTGAGACATAGCTATTGAAGAAGATGTAGCTGACTGGAAACTGGTCAAAGATTGACCTCAAATGTCTTATGAGGACCCTTCTGATGCGGAAGTGGATTTTGAGCCCCGACGACGAGAAGGTCCAAGAGCCGAGAAGG